TATTCTAGTATTTAAATTGTTCCTCTTCGTAGCATTATTGATGAACAGTTACGGTCCAACCACTTTGCATTAAGGATGATCGCTTTTGGAAATATTAACTCGGCCGTTCTTATAGTGGGATCAAGGAAACCAATTTTCAGATATTTGTGTATGCGTCTGCTGATGAAGCTTAAATTGAGCCTTGTCTCCTGAATTTGTTGCCTTGTAGAAGAATAAAAGCTCGCCATTCAGAAACGAACTGTCCCTCATAGTCGTTGATGAATTGGCAGTTAGGCTAATTAATACATAGTGACTTGGTGAGTTTATGGAGTTTAGGTTTATTATAATATTGTATGTCTTTGTATTAAAATATGTATGCATGTATTGTATATTGTATGTATTGTTTTGATCTTAAATGGAATAGTCATGTTGACAGTATCAATGTATCTAAAAGATTGTATTTTTTATATAAACTAAACCTCTATGCCTCTATGTTTACAAAGCTTAAAATTTAAACTTGAAAATTGGAAACATGCAAATGTACGTATACGAATGCTAAAACTATGAACTATGAATTAAAACGTTTACATGTAGAACTTGCGATTATGAATGTGTTCATGTATCTATTAGTCTTAATTATTGGAAAGTCCTCAGGGATTAATGTGCAGACAGTGCAGTATTTGAGTTCAAATCCGGCAATAGTGCCGCGACGTTTGTGATTTGGATCTTCAATGATTTCTGTATCCGTTCAATGTCTTTACTCAGGTAATTTGGGATTCCGTAATGAAAAACGGGCGATGCATATTCTACTATCTCGGTCGGATGCAAGTACAATAAAAACAAATCATCTCAGCAGCGGGTACATTCGCTCGTTTTAACTGACGTAAATTACAAACACTCCTTGTAAATCTTAACCATGTAATTCAGCTGAATAGCTGTATTAAGTTGGTAATTTTTTATTACTGTAAACTATTAATATATATCAAAATATTGTCGCAGAAAGTCACAGTCTATAGAATAGACCCTTCAATAAACCCTAAGACCCCTTGCCTTGCTTTACACGTTTTTCTGCCAGACAAATTCTGATTATGAATATTCATACTTGCCAAACTGAAATTTGAGAATTTAAATAGACGTTGTTTGATGGTTTTACACTAAGCGAATTGAGTCATTCGAGATCGCGCCTTTCAAGAGATGTTTTGACCCTGTTTTGAAATATAAACAAGTAGGCGGAGCTTAATCAAACACGCTTGACAATTAGTTAAAGCGGCAATCCCTCTATTTATTAGGGATTGCTCGCAGTCTAGTGCAAATTGGGAAATAGAACACTTACTGCTGGACAGTTGAAAACACCTGAAGGGTTAGGAAGCTTAATTTGCCATGATGAAGGGTATAAATTCTTGAGAGCTTTAAGAGGTTCACCACCTTACTTTGAAAAAGCAAAAAAAGGATCTCTTTGCTATGATTCGTCAGTTAGGACCAGCGTCATTGTTTTGCAGTTTTTCCTCTGCTGAAACAAAATGGATTTATTTATTGAGAATCCTTGGTAAACTTATTGATCACAAAGATTATAGTGATGAAGAATTAGACAATCTTACATGGGAAGAAAAATGTAGACTAATTCAAAGTGACCCGGTTACATGTGCAAGACATTTTGACTACCAGTTTAACACTTTCTTGAAAGAATTTTTAATGAGCAATATAGCTCCTTTAGGGCAAGTAAAGGATTGGTTTTACAGGGTTGAGTATCAACAGCGAGGCTCACCTCATATCCACATGCTCATATGGCTTCAAAATACACCAGTATTTGGCGTTGACAAGGATGAAGATATAACTGCATTCATTGACCAAATAATAACTTGTTGTAAGCCAAGTAATGATAAAAAATTGTTTGAACTAGTTAACAGGCAAACACACAGGCATTCTCACACATGCCGAAAAAATCAAAAAATCTTTGTAGATTCAATTATCCCCAACCACCTATGAGATCTACACAGATACTATATCCACTTGATGATAACACCTCTGACACTGTCGTAAAAAAACAGAAAAAAATCATGGAAAGAAATTAAGAATAAACTCAATGATCTAAAAGAGGGTAAAGACATAACTTTTGACCAACTTCTCGAAGAGTTGGATATTTCAGAACATGAATATATCCTTGTTATTCGATCATCTCTTAACTGTCCAACAATATTCTTGAAAAGAAGTCCAAATGAATTAAGGATAAATAACTACAATTCTGCATGTCTTCATGCTTGGAGAGCTAATATGGATATTCAGTTTGTTCTAGATGTTTATGCTTGTGCAATGTACATTGTTTCCTATATTTCAAAGGCTCAAAAAGGAATGAGTGAATTGTTACGTAAAGCTTGTGCTGAAGCCAAAGAGGGAAATGCAAACATAAAGCAACAGGTCCGCGATATTGGAAATAAATTTTTGAATTCGGTAGAAATTAGTGCACAAGAGGCAGTGTATGTCATTCTACAACTTCCAATGCGAAAGTCATCAAGGAGTGTTATCTTTGTTAATACATCTCCTCCGGCTGAGCGAGTTGAATTACTTAAGCCATTAAGTGAAATAGAAAAAATGTCAGATGAATCTGAAGAAATTCATTCTAGTGGTCTTTTGAAACGATATGTAGAACGACCAGACATTTTGCAAAATGTTACTTTAGCTGACTGGGCAGCATGGTATGACTCATGTGGTAAACATAATTATAAAAAGTCAGACAAAAAGGCTGATATTGATAACCTTCCAGTTGAAACAGAGGATGGAAACAATGATGATGAATTATTTAATGAATTAGAGAATCCTTCGATAAGTGTTTTATCTAATAAATCAATAAAAAAAAGATCTCAAGCTAGAATAATCCGAAGTGTTTGGTTCAATAAGGAGGCTCATCTAGGAAAACATTATCGTGAGTTAATAATGCTATTTACTCCATGGCGGAATGAACAGACTGATTTAATAGGATGTTTCTCCTCTTTCCAAGAACATTACCTAGCTCGATATGATGAAATAAGTGAGCAGATGAAACAATATGCAGTTTGTAGTGAAGACCTTAATGAAATTCATCAACACTTGCAGGAATGTGATGATGATATGTATGACACCATAGCCCCAGTAACACAACATACTGAACTTCAAGATCAGGATGAAGGTAACACAGACACACATCCAGATCTAAACGAAAATTATGATCTATCAGCAGATCTGGGTATTCCTTCAACTTTACCTAATAATGAACCACTTGTGCTAAATGAAATGCAAGATGATGAATATCGAGGTTTCGTTCAAATGCTCAATAAAAAACAAAGAGAATTCTTTTATCATGTTTTGCATCTTATTAAGACATCTGATAAACCATTTTATTATGCATTCTTAAGTGGAAGTGGAGGTGTTGGTAAATCTCATGTTATCAAGTCCATTTATCAGGCTGGATTAAAGTACTATAATTCAAAAGCTGGTGAAGATTTTCATCGCACTCAAATATTATTACTTGCTCCCACAGGAAAGGCAGCTTATCTTATCAAAGGTAACACAATTCATAGTGCTTTAGCAATTCCAGCAAGCCAATCGCCTAAAAATTATAAACCTCTTGATTCTGGTAGATTAAACACATTAAGATGTCAATTGGGTGCTTTAAAGTTGATATTACTTGATGAAATTTCAATGGTTGGAAATAGTATGTTTACAATTCAGTTGAATAACCGTTTAAAGGATTTAAAAGGAAGCAAAGAAGATTTTGATAGTGTAAGCATCATCACAATAGGTGACTTCTTTCAACTTAAACCTGTTATGGATGGCTACATTTTCACTGATGTTCAATCGCTAAGTTCATATAATATTCTTGTTCCAAACTTATGGAAAAAGTACTTCAAAATGTTTGAGCTGGATGAGATTATGCGACAGAGGGAGAGCAAAATGTTTGCTGAAATTTTAAATAGATTAAGAGAAGGTAACCATACTTCTAGTGACCTCGAGAAACTTAAGGAAAGATGCGTTGAAGAACCTAACTGTCCAAAAGAAGCTCTACGTTTGTTTGTTCAAAACGCTTTGGTTGACAGCTATAATGAAAAAGTGTTTGAATCTTTTAGTCGTAATAAATATACAATTAAAGCACAAGACAGTGTTATTGGCGCTTGTTCTCCTGAGTCAAAAGAAAAAATAATGAGACAAATACCTTATGTTTCACTGAGAAACTCTAAACAGTTAGCTCATAAACTAAAGCTTGCAGTCGGTCAACGGACAGAAATTGCAATCAATGTACGAACTGTTGACGGTCTTACAAACGGTGCAAGTAATGTGATAAGATTGATACAATTAAATAATGAAAGTAAGCCATCTGGTATAGTTTGGGTTCAGTTTGATTATGAAGATGTTGGTAGAAAGACCCGACAGGAAAACAGGAGTCTTTATAGTACAGGTATTGAAAGTACATGGACACCAATTAAACCAGTTACATCCCAGTTTGCTGTTGGCAAAACTAAATCTGCTCAAGTTGTTAGAAAACAATTTCCATTAAGGCCTGCATCAGCTAAAACTGTACATAGATCACAAGGTGATACTCAGACACAAATAGTGGTAAACCTAAATACAAACAGGGCCATTCCACATATACATTATGTTGCTTTAAGCAGAGTTACAACAATCGAAGGATTACATATCACTGATCTATGTGAGCATAAGATATCTGTGGATCAAAGTGTCGTAAAAGAAATGCAAACCTTAAGAACAGAAGATAGCTTCAAACTTTGTTTCACATGCACCTTTATATCTGTTGGATCAATCTGATCTGAAAATTTGTTACCTCAATGCCCGATCTCTGCATAAACACATTGAAGATGTTCGAAAAGACATTAATTATTCCTCAACAGATATTTTAATATTTACTGAAACAAGGTTTAGTCCTTTAGACCCTGCTGAGATGTACACTATTGATGGTTACAGGTTATTTAGAAATGACATTCCTAATTATTCTGGCCCTACACGTCCATATGGTGGAACAGCTGTTTATAGCCGAATCCCATTAGCAGATGGGTATCCCTGTGCTCAAAATATAAATGGGATTGAATTAACGGTTATTAAAACACAGGATCATCCAGATCTAACTGTATTTGGATTGTATCGCTCTCCAAGCATTGCTTTATCACGTCTATTGGCTGCACTTCGTACTATTCATGACGAAAATCTGTCTGCGCAAATTATAGTCATTGGAGACTTTAATGTAAATTGGATGGTGGAATCCGAGCGGCAGTCACTGTATAACTTCATGGTCTTAGAAAATAGCTACAGACAAATGATATCAAGTTTTACGACTGATAATCGAACATTAATTGATTATATATATACAAATTTGATCGAGAACGAAATTCATACTGGTGTTTTAGAGGCATACTTTAGTGATCATAAAGCAATATGGGCTTCTCTTAAGGTGTAGAAGTAACAGCTTACTGTAACATTTGATCAAAATACGGTAGATTTAGTAATATACAATATCTGAGCACAATTAAGATGAAAAAATTGCATGTACAGTAGTGTAACCCAGCTAACACAAAACGTGTACTCTATCGAAAGTATACATTAAGGATGAAAGTGAGTATAAAAATAAACTCTAAATTATTACATGTTGATGATGGCTCTAAGGTAAGTTGAATTTTTATTCTAATTTCTTTTTTCCTGTTATACCCACTGTCTCAATTCTAGTTTTCTCTTTTAGATATCTGTTTCTATACTTCGGCTACCGCTACTAACTTGGTTGCATCAAGAGTAACGTCAGACAACTACTCTACTGTATAGATACTCGCAAAAAACACTATTAAGGTAAGAACAGTTGTTTACTGTAAAAATTCCGGCCTAAATCGTAAATTCTCCTGTTGCAAATATAAAACAGTACCGGAAACAAACTTCAATAATTACAAGTCCAAAAAACTAATGCAGTATCTATAATATTATATAGATTTGTGTTTCATTTTCAAATCCCGAATTGACGTAAAAAAACTGAAGAAAATTACCAAGTCCGAGAAATATCTGCGCTAAAGTGAGGCTGTTACCCTGGACCTATGACTATGCTCAACAAAGTTGGCGCCATCATAAAGACATAATCTACTGTAAACTGGATAAACTTCAACAAAACCGTTCATCATATAACTTTATACTCAGAGATATACCACGCAATATCCGCGGAATATAAATATGATTATATGATATTCCATGCAATTGAAACACTAAAATAAACTCAACCAGTTTTATTTAAATATGAAAAAACTAACAGTTCCTACAACAACTTTTTTACCAAATAATTAAAAATTAATATAAAGTTCTTGATATTAATATAAAGTTCTTGATACAGTACAGTATCTTGTTCGATTATATCAATGTCAATTGTCTCTTACCAGTGTTACATAACACAAACTTTATAATATAGTATACCATTATTGAAAATCATAGTTGTATACAATACTGTTCATAATCCGTAGATTGTAATAGATTTCAATTGTCCGTTGCTAGTTCACAATCAATTAGCTTGTTTTGTCCCGCCTCGTAAGTTACCTTTACTTTGTCAACAGATAGAATGCATCGCACTAACTCGTCTTCGCAGGCTGACGCGACGCTAATAATATCTTCTGACAACGATGCTAGTTTGCAAACACCCTCGTGGAAAGCTGATAAAGCAACCGTTTCCTCAGTTGTATCTTCTGGTTGAATCATTACCTTCATAAACCATTGACTGTTGCACGAAGATACCTTCTGCACCATGTTACACGACTTCGAAGAGCAATTGCCAATTTTCCCTCTTGCATCAACAATAACTTTTTTGGAACAGGAAAAACACGAATAATACTTTGCCACGTTTCTCACCCCAACAACAGTCCCGAAAATCTGTGCTTCGCTTGGGCATTCGTAATCTTCAACTTCGACTACTTCGTCATACGCTTCTGTTTCCTCGTACAAGAATTTTTCACCTTTCGCGGTGTTCACATACTTTTCTCCTTGGTTTTGCTTCACTCGAATGTTTTTCATCACGTACGTTTTCTCAATGTCCAACACATCCACCTCGTCTTCCCAAAGGATTAGCTTAATGCAGCCCGTCTTATCAACAACTTGTGCTTCTTGCTTTCGCAGAGGACCCATTGTGGTGTTGATCACTTTCACAGAAGATAGCTGAGCCACTTTTGCACGGAGACTAACCAACTGACCCGTTGCCACTTGGTTTACAGACGAAATTGCCAGCACACATGAATTGGGCAGCGGGGTGCACTTGAACTCTGCAGTCTCTTCAGCTTTAATCACATTCGTATACTTGTTGATGATAACATCTTTGCTGCCTTCTTTCTCGTTTATTCGAAACTTCGACAGCTTTACTGGCGACTTTTTTTCTTCGTACTGTTCAAGTACCTGTCTCTTCTCAGGGGAAAAGCAAACAGCGCGAACCACTCCGGACGATTCCGTTTGTAACTGGCAACTGAAATAGTTGGTTTTTCCAGAGCTTTTAACATTCGACACACCGTGAATATAGCATTTAATTTCATCTGATGGAATAGGATCTAAAAATATTTGCAATATCTTAATTACACAAAATCTGAAATTGCGATTATTGATCTGATATTTCTTATTTTCATAGTTACAGTAAAACAAATAGTAATGCACATAGATTCATACCCAAAATTAGTACTTCAGCCTTTACTACAAATATCGTTGAAATTTGATCGCAGAGACACCACAGACCTCTTCGCGCACGTTATATATGTGTTGTTATAATTTCTTGTTTACCATATGCAAAACAAATAACTTTTTGTTACTGTAACTATACAGATATTTTCCTGATGACATCCTATCTAAAAATAAGTTTCTGTTATTCTAATTATAGCCGTGTTGCATGCGCCCCCAAAATAGTAATAAAATACTTCAGTACTTCACACATATTTTAAACTTTGTATATATAAAAATGACTGCATCCCTCTCTAATATCATATCTCGAAATAGATTTGTGTTAGTTCTGGCCACGCCTCTCGCCATATAAATTTATATTAAATTTAATTAAATTTATATATATATTTTATATATTTATTATATATATATTTATATGTTGTGTTAATGTACATCCGTAATATGATAAGTTCAAAATGTTCTAGAGTGTGTATTTCATAATAAATTATAGTTCATAATTTCCAGTCTTAAATCCGTCTCACCATGTTGCTCAGTTACTAAAGCATCCAGCTACAATCCTGGAAAAAAATTAGTAGACTTCTTAAATTTTCAAACTTTGTCCCCCTCCCCCCTTATACAATGTTGGTATTTAGGTGACATGTGTTGCAAATCCACTTTACCTGAACCAACATTGTTTGTGGGGGGAGGGGGGGGGGGATTTATGGTAAATAGTTGCTTTAATTGAAAAATGCTCACATTTTCATCATATGTTTTCAAATTTGGGTGTATATTTCGAAAAGTCTACACATATTTTTTCCAAGATTGTCTGAAAAATACAATCGGGATAATAATTTTAACAAGTTAATTGTGCCGTCGTTTTCGAAAGATAATTTTCAAATTAGAATGGACTCTATATTAGGAACATAATGCAGGGTTTGATTAAACTTTTTGAACGCCAGGGGGTCGATAGACGGGGGGGGGGCTTATGTTGGTGCCCTGCTTTAAGGAAAATTGTGGTTAATTTATCCATTAAGGCTGCATTAAAAAAAAATATGGCAGGTAACAACAAAAAACTATCGGAGCGACAGATATGGCATATATAGATTATTACATTGTACAATGTTTCATGACCGTCACATTTTTTCACATATTTGTCAATCATTAAAATTTTATAGTGCAGAATTGTAGCTATAAAGTATGTTTTAATATAGTTTCAATATGCTTTTATAGCGCATATACCTGTGATTGCCTCAAAATTGGTGCTTGTCTTAACGAATATCTTTTTATTAATTAAGAAATGTACAGTCTGAGTAAAATCACTACATGTTACACCACATGTTACAGTACATGTTACACTAAAAGTTCTATATTTTATTATATATCCTCACATGTTACAACATGTTACACCTACTTTTAAAAATATATATAGTTCCTTTTAAAAATATAGGTGTAACATGTTGTAACATGTCAAGAACTATAGTAAAGTATAGTAATTTTAGTGTAACATGTAGTGTAACATGATGTAACATGATGTAACATGTGAAGATTAAGATTTGTTCTAACCTATAATCTTTGAAAATGTGCATAGAGAACTGTAAACCTTAAAAATAAATTAATCCTAACATAATTTAAGACACAACCAACCGATAAACGAGCAGAAATATCTCTTAGTTTATTTAATCCAAAAGAACTCAAGAAATCAAGCAGTTGTATTTTATGAAATTAAATTCGCTTATTTTCCGGAGGAAATACTAAGTAAAACATTTTGAAAAGGGTGTTAAACCTAGAGGATTCTAAGTTGAAGCTAATATTACATTTACTATACATTCAAAAGTATAAAAACATTTATAATCGTGTCCAAATTCAACGAAATTGCAAGGATAACCCGAGCTGTGGGCGGTAATATACGCCTATTTCCTATAATCGTACCATGGGAAGTCTTCCCCCCCCCAGGAAAATTGTTTTGGGAGTCTGTTTCTACTGACATATGTGCCACTTGACTTTCATAACAACATAATAGAATAGAAAATTTTATATGTCCAAAAAATTTCATTT